CTCTAGACATAGAGGGTGTGACAAGCACAAGTCCAATATCTTTGTTGATGTTGAATTTAAACCCTTATTTTTGACTGTTTATTTTCATTTGAAATTCATCTTAGAAAGGTCCTGAGGGTGTTGTTTTTCCATATGTGATAAGTGCTATATCTGGTAGTACTGGTGAACGTTTCAATGATTCAAGATTTAAATCCCATTGAGCGTCTGTGAGACCTCATGCTGGTTTCATCTTCAGTCAGAGATTGGAACCAGGCACATGTATTACAATGTAAAAATTAAACTCCTACTTAAGTGTGAATGCTTTGTAATGCATTCTATCATATACAGTGCCTTCTTAATGTCCCAATTAGATCAGACGTATCCATGTCTTTCTTAGACAAATGTACAAATTAGTAAAAATATACTTAAAAACAAAAGAAAGGTTACAAATGAAAGGAGACCATTTGGCCCCTCTAAACAGTTTGGTATATACTGTAGCGGTTAATTGTGCCAATGATCTCATCCAGCTGTTTCTTGAAGGAAGCCAGAAATGGCTTCAATCATATGGCTGGGTAGCCTACTACATGCTCCCATAACCATTGGGGTAAAGAAGTGCCTCCGGCTCTCAGTTGTAAATCACTTCCACATGGTTTCCACTTGTGGCCTCTGGTTCAGGTTTCACTGATCATCCTGAATAAGCCCACTGAGCTGACTTTGTCATTTCAATATTTGTATCAGGCGCCCTCATAATCTTCTCTGTTTAACACTAAAAAGATTCAGTTCTTTCATCCTGTTGCTGAAGGACAATCCTTTAATTCATAAAATGCATCTGATTGCTCTTCTCTGGACTGAATTCTAAGTAGCCATATTTTGTTAGAAAACATGGTGACCAAAATTGTAGACAATGCTCTAAATGATGCCTAACTAGTGCATTGTACAATTTTAACATAACATCCCTTGATTTGAATTCTGCACTTATCTCTACATATCCTAACATGTATTACTTCCCCATAAGCAATGAAACAATGTGTTGACAGAACAACCCAAGCCTTTTACATCAATAAAAACTTCTGAGTTAACTACTTTGCACCCACTCTAATTCCCGAAACAGAGTTTAAATTCCCCCAGTGTTTTGTGGATACTGTATTACGTATTTGCCTTAGTAATTTGCACTATTTGCACTTTGCACTATGTATATCCTGTCTATATTTGCACCGTGGACCAGGAGGAACGATATTCCATTCCACTGTATGTTTGTGTACAGCTGGAATGACAAATAAACACGAACGTGAGGTCACCCTATCCGTTTAAATAGCCGAGCGATCCGAAGATATTTTACCTGTGGTCATACGCAGGGTGTGCAGATAAGGCTGGAATCAAGAAGCACTTTGCACAGAGCTGTAGATGTCAGGCCCTCTGTAGCCAGAGGGCGCTTCTACTCTGTCCTGTCCCTAGTTCCCTGTGCTTTGTTCTCCTTCCAGTGTCTCTGTCTCTGGGGCTGTATATTTCCAGGTCACTCATTCACCTTCGCTCAGCATTGACGTTCGGATGTCCTGAGACCCGCCTAGCACCGGGTCACCGCTCCTACCGTGGCCTGAGGGCACAGGTTTCTATACAGCAATTCCAGAACTCCTGCACTGCTGAGCCCGGGCTAACCCCCTGTTCCGGCGCTTCGCATAGGGTCTTTTTCCTTTCTCCTGCCTCTCCACGGTTCGTCCCTTCCGACATCCGTGACAGTAGAGTTCTGGAACAAAGTGTCCAGCCCTGCTGTTCTCGGAATCCCCACCAAAGAAGCCCTTGGGTCAATAAGCTACGAGTGAGCTAAGATCAGCTGAACGGTCCTCTCACATTTGCGTCCTACGCTATATTCTCATTTTCCAGTGGAGGGAGTGGTGATGAAAGTGATGAAAAAGAGGAAGGGCGATTCTCAGTTTTGTTGCTCTGGGAGGAACGGATGTTATTTAGGGCTTCTGTTTTGTTTTCTAAGATAAAAATGTGACACAGTGGATTTGAGTTTTGTGTATTGTGTTTCAGGGATTTTACTCTTAACATGCCAAAATGCAAATTCTCAGTTCCTAAATTCTTTGCACACTCAGAATAGTGTGTAAACACTTCTGTTTCTCCAATGTTTTCTAGATGAGTACTTAAGGCTACAATTCTTCCACATTCCAAACCATTAAAATCATCAGTTTGACTACACTACTAAAATAACCAGTTTATTAACTTATAATAAGCAACATTCACAGGTCAGTTGATGCAGAATCATCCATTTATCCAATTATCCATGAAATTTCCACTAATAGTCTTTGAAGAAGTTGTAACCCCAGGCTAAAGTATTCTAACAACACATTGAACTAGATGCTGTGAAACTATCTATATTTTCATTGTTTGTTTGGACAAAGAAGTGAGGAAGAATTTTAGCGTTTACCTTTTTTAAAGTGTATAAGATAGTGACTAGTTGGCTTTGAAAAATGCCTTTTACCCAGCAACAGTATGAAAGAACAATTGCAAGCATATTATTTGACTTTTGGATTTTAATGGTACAACTGCAGGATGTCTACCTCATTTCACACCTTTTATTTATATACTTCCTTTTGTCTGTATGCAAGGTAGAACTGCTTCTTAAGAAGAACATGGTCAATTACAAGGAAATGTTTGAAGAAAGAAAAACAACCCCTAATATGGAAAGAATGAACTTTCCTGTGTGAATTTGCTGTATAAAACTCATTGCATTTATCATCTCGGGGGAGAGGTTACTCACAGATCTGTATGAGAGGCTGCTCTCAGGTCTGCATGATTATACCCTCCCCATGCGCATGAATAAAGGACTCTGCTTGACCACACCTAACCTGAGTGAAGACTTCTCTTCGACAGAAGCAAGTCTCTTTTTACATCATTCATACTTTCTCGCTGAACGTTTGCACAGGATACCAGGAAAGGCAACACTTATGAGACCGATTTAGGCAAAATAATTTCTGCTGATGCTTTCCTTTCCAGGGACTGTGACTGACTACACCAATGTAGCCACAGAGTACTTTAGAAAGGCATTCTGCAAACTGAATTTGTGATCTTAAGAGCTCTTGTGTTCTTAACAAGTAGTTGAATAAACAGATGTACTTCTCCATGCTAGACCAAAAACTTCTGCTTTCTGGAATACCTCAGGACCACAAAGTTGGACTGCAGTTCTTAGTGATAATTTTACGAGACAAAAGAGTAAGTAGAAGAGAACTACATTTTAAGTATTTGTTACCGTAAACGAAATGCAATTTATTTCAATTTGCACAGAAGACTAAACCTCCTGTAACCATCAGGCTACTCATGTCGTTGTTATTTTGGAATACTTTTAATTCCATTAATATTTGAATTAAAGACGATTGTACTTTAGGTGTTTCCTCTGTTGCAAACATCCTTGTGTGAAAGTGAGCCTGTTGATGCACCTGATACCAGCCTGTGCCACAGGCCTCTTAAATTTATGATAGAATTAACTAGTTTATTTTCTGATTAAGCATTTGTGGAGCTTCAGAGGTTTATTAGATACAGTGGTGTGAAAAAGTGTTTGCCCCTTCCTGATTTCTTATTTTTTTGCATGTTTGTCACACTGAAATGTTTCAGATCATCAAATGAATTGAAATATTAGACAAGGATAACACAAGTAAACACAAAATGCAGTTTTTAAATGAAGGTTTTTATTATTAAGGG